TTTCCGGGTAGAAATGGCTTTCTACCCGGAAAAGCTCACCGGAAGCACTTTTTCATCAAAAAAAGATGGCGGCGCCCAGCAAGCCAGCGGCCTGGTAGGACCTGTTCCGCGGACCGGTACCGGTCCGCGGACCGGTGGTTGGGGACCCCTGACTTAGAGGATTAAGGTTGAAGACAGATTGAAAATAGCTGCCTAAAAGATACAGAGAAGTAAAGGATGAGGAGAGACTTTGCTGATGCCTCTCCAGCCAATCCATGTAGCTGTTTGACCCAAAGATTTGATATCATACAGAGGATGAAATACTTGTCCCTCTTCATTTTATCTATGCCAAGTATGATATCTATCTGTATCAAGTATATAATTGTATAAGTCCTTCTCTGCCATGCTTTTATTTGATCCATGAAAGCTGCCCATTGTCCTCATTTCTTGTAACTTTTTTAAAACCCTGCCCAGGTCTGCAACATCTTTTCAAAATGGCAGTATAATTGTATGCGGAAGAACAGCCCTATCATAAATCTTTATTTCTTTATTGCCACTGCTTTTGTTCATGGGAACAAGATCTTCACTAGAGTTCCTGTTTATGTCTTAGACATCTATGGGCTTCCCCCCACTCCCAAATGCCATTAATATTTGGGCAAATATTAATGAATGTAGTATCTTCATTTAAAATGCAATAGGTAGCATGACATCATTTAGGGAGGAGAATGGTACGTTATATTGTTTCTATAAATGACCCATGGGCCAAAAAGAGATGTTAGTGTAATTGACTCAGGAATAATAACATAACCTGACAAACTCCTTCCTGCTTGGTCATGTTTGAAACTAACTTTGGTTTGGTTCATTTTTTTACCAGTAGGCAGTAACTGAGTTTATGTTCTGGTATTTTGCATCTAATAATAGAATGAAGGAAATATTTAATATTATTTCATATATATTTAATATTTAATAACTGTTTACTAGATTGTGAAGGAAAGCACTGCTCTGGTAACTTTTGTTCTTTACACTCTCCTAATTTAACTAAGATAGTCAT